GTCTTTTCAGCTCATTTTCATAGATTCAACTCTGCAACAAATAAATAAATAAATTGGTTCTTTCATTACACATCAGCTGTGTAGTTTGGTTTCTTCTCACAAACATGCACAGATAACTCCTTCGACCTGCTTCCTTGTGTCCTCAGCACCTGTAAGGTAGTGCGGGCTGTCCCATCTGCACAGGGTGCACAAAAACACCTCCCAGCAGTATCCTCTCCCCCCAACCCAGCAGCTTGTTGAGGGTGACGCTGAAAGGTGAGAGCAGGCCCTTTTCCTTGACCTCAGCTCTGCTGTGCTGGCTGGCAGAGAGACGCTGCTTCCTGTAGGAGTCGGGGTAACTCTTCACCTCGGCGCTCTCGCCAATCTTCCTGCTCTCGACCATTTTTTCTTGTTGCCTCTCGTTTGCTGTGGAGGAAGGGCATATTCCCAAAGGGGTCAAAGAGAGGGTAAGGCTTTTACGTTTCTCTAACAGAGAAGCAGAGCCTGATGGGAGTTGTAGTTGGGTGGCCTTTAACGTTGGGTTGATGGGCTCACAGGGACGGGAAGCTGAAACTTCCGATGGTTTCTGGACAGGCTGCAGGTCACGACGGGGAGGCAAACCAAGAGTCCACAGCTGCTGCTGCTTGTTGTCAGTGCTGTCTGACAGCCAGCGTCTCTGCTGGGCTCTGTCTGTGTGGTGAGCTGAGTCTGCAGGGACGCTCTTAGCTTGACAGTTGCTGTTGTGACTGCTGTGAGAGAGGTTCACACTGTCGCTAGCAGATGGCAGGCAGCTGGCCAGCTGCTGGACGAGGAGGTCGTGACCACGCGACTTTTGGCTCAGAGCACCCTGCAAGTGCTGCAGCTGACCCAGGAAGTTGAAGTTTGGGGAAATGGAGGGCCGGCGCTCTTTCACAAACCTTATAAGGGGACAGAAAGGATGTGGGTTATTGTTGCTAGTATTTCACACGTCACACTGAGTCTAGGTAGTACTCTGCAATGAGCTACAGTTACCACAGTATTATAGACTGTAAACAGGAATAACAGGTAGATGCTCATTTGAGTGCACTGAATGTCTCGATAATGCTTATATAGAGTGCATGCATACGCTAACTGAGAGGTTTAGCAAGTGTTCAAGCTGCTATAATGTCTTGTAACTTCACAAAGCCTTCTTGTTATTGATCAGGACTGACTACATCTGCTAGTTTCCTCTGACAAGCCGAAATGGATCGATACTCAGAACAATGGGACAAAGGAGATCTGTCAAGATTAAGACAGGTTTACACAGCTGGGAAGGTCTCTGAACAACTGCAGCCTGCAAGATAAACATTCCCAACAACTGCATGTAAATACTTTGTTAAGGCAGGAATATCTGGATCCACTCATGGATATCAAAACATGGTCTTTGAGAGGACAAGTCCTAAAACATGAGTATGTATACTGGTTCCTTTAGAGAGGTGTGCAGCCATTGTTCTTTGGAGTTATTGACTGTTGTAGATAAAAGTGTGAATACTATGTGCTGTGGACCGCTTAGAGAAAGTCTTTCATGGGTAAAAGTCTCCAACTGTCAAACCACAAACACTTAAACTCACAAGCAGAGTTAACTTCATTTCACCGGAGTGGTGAAAGTGCCAGAAAACCTCTGATAGCTGTAAGTTCAATAACTCATGTTCAGCTTTAGAAAGGGAATCAAAGGCTTCTTCAGTGTTCTTATGTTATTTGACAAAGTCGAGCTCAGGTCCCTCTGCGGGGTGAGTTTGTGCTACTACCCATACCTGTAAGCATGGTCCAGGTCCATTTCCAGACTGTACATGACATAGGCAACAGCCAGAGCTGGGGAGCGGGAAATTCCTGCTGCACAGTGCACGAGCACCGAAGCCCCCGACGACACGGCTACATCTGAACACACAGAGTGACAGTCAGCCGAGCGGGACACAGAGCAAGTGCTGGCTAAAGCTAACCACACTGCAAATTACATTCTTGAAAAATTCAATAATAAATATTTAAAAATTGAAAATAAATCTAAAAAACAACATCTTGACTTGTGCATCAGGGTTCTGAATGAATGTGCCTGCAGCTGCTATCGTAGTGCCACTGCTAACTCAACCAACTGCATAGAGCCTTGAATGCAAACTTCTTGCACTGTCACAGAAGTAAAGCATCGTTCAAACACAATGATGACAACATGGTGTTTACTGATCACGTGCATTAGAAATCTGAGGAAATCTTGTTCTATTGCTGTGAGTGAGGCCTTACCGATGAAATGCAGAGCCTGTGGGATCCAGGGCAGCAGGTTGTCCCACAGAGAGTCATCAATGGGAATGCGGAGATACCTGGAACCAGGCAGGAAGGAGGGCTGGGGGCTGCAGCGACTCACACTCAGCACATAGGAGATACCCAGCGAGGCCAGCTGGTCCTGCACACACACACGCGCGCACACGCACACACACGCACACACGGGCTCTGTTTCTGCTGTACAGGAGTTCACAGTGAGACGCACGTCTGTGCTCTACCTCACATATAAACTGATCCGTCTCTGTGTACATATTAATGCACTAATAATGTTGAACAACCATGTTGGTAATTGTTTAGAGCACTTTTAACTTTATACTTCACTATTTTTTTATTTGTTACAAATTAAAGAAAGAAAGAAAAATATTTCACACGTAATTTGTGAAATATTTGAATCGTTTAAAAATAATGTAATATAATAATGTTGCACATGAAGTAATGATCTGCTCAGTAAAGGCAGCAGATTTACGTGAGCATGCGCAGCTGTAAGTGCTTCATGTTATTTAATGTCCACATCAGCCATGCATGTGCTGCTGTGCTGTGAGAGAGTATAGCACAGGAGCTGTTATTGCGATATTGGTCCTCTTCCTACCTGCGTCACGTCGCTCTCTGCTCCGAGGTAGAGCTGCGGCAGGATGACGGACAGCGGGGGCCGCTCCATCTCTGTATCCCGAGACAAGACCATACCTGCAGCGCCACAGGCGACACGTAGGAAAGAAATCCGCTGCGTGAAACGTCCTGTGACCAGTTCTCAGAAGACAAACATTCAAACACGGTGTGCGTTTCCTCTTTTGCACGACGGTGCATCCGTGCTGTATCCACGCCGTACTTACTGAGGTGTCCGCTGCAGCGAGCTCCTTCCTCTTCACCGTGTGTCTCACACTGGATTCTCAACGATGAGCTCATCAACTTTCCAACAATAGATCTGGACTGGATGATGTCATTTTCAGCCAATCACTGCGCCGCCGCACTTTCACACGCGCAGACGCAGCTGTCCGTGGGGCCGCCTCAGCAGCACAGACACATGACGTTCACTCCAGTCACATCTGGCCCGTGTACTCACTGCAGTAGGCTTTAACCTCCTGTTTGTGTTCATGCTGCTGCAGTGGAGCCACCGTGACCCACGTAACGTCCCTGAGGATGAATCAAGTGTTCTGACAGTGCAACACATCTGCACATGAGACTGAAAGGCTTTGATGGCGGATAACCAGCCGAGGTTTGCCTGTCCGCATGCTGAGCTTCCCCCCTCTGGTGTTAACCTGCATTCCTCTACTCTTTACGACCTTTCTATGCTAATTTAAACCAGGCGGGTTGATTTGCAGCATTTGATGGTTCTGCACAGCTTAGCTGTTCCTGGTCTGCACTCTGTGCCCTGAACATGTGCAGTTTGAGGTTCCTAATACTACTAAGACCTAAGATCTCCTCAAGTTGTGAAAGGTATCCCAGCTTGCATCCTATTACTACACTGAACCGTCTCTGGAGCATCCTTTGCACAACCAGCCTGAAACTTGGATCCTGTTGACAGCCTCCGTGAGTCCTGTAGATCTACCTTTTCTAGCTACTGATTTCTTGATGTCAGGCACTTCTGTCTGTCATCATCTTCATCGTGATTGCCATTGCCCTGCAAGATACTCGGGTACTTGTAGCTGTCCTGTATACCCACTTACTTTAATTCTGGCAACTCTAACCCTCCAGCCTGGATCCATTTCCTTGCTTTGCCGAACATGTCCGGTCTGAAGGATTTCTGCACGTAGACCCAGGGTAAGTAAGTCACTGCTGTTAATGAGCTTGATGTCAAACATGCACAGAGTAGGTTTATCAGCTCTTTGGGCTGACCTCTCAGTACCCAGGAAACGGGCAGACCACCACAGACCCCTCACACCCTGGACACAGACTCTCTGACCTGCTGCCCTCTGGCAGACGGTGCAGCTGCAGACCAGGACACAGGAAGTTTCTTTCCCCTCGCCATCTCCCTCCCAAACAGTTGACCTGTCACACTGCTAGACTGCACCTTATGCAGGCTCCGTGGTATTCATTTCTGTAATCCTGTGTGTGTACCGTGTCGTTTACATATTGTTGTTTTACATTGTTGTGCTTGAGAGACACCATCGATCAGAACCAAACTCCTTGTGTTTGTGCACATACCTGTCCAACAATCATGATTCTGTGAGGGGACTGACACCTTTGCAGTTACAGGTGACTTGTGGAAGTTTCTACCATCGACAGGAGTCCAAGGTGAAAATCACTGCAGACCAAAATCGATGCAAAAGCTTCTCTCACATCTGCCAAAAATCAAATGAATAAATATGTTGATCCCCAAGAATTTAGGGAAAACCTTCCTGAGGACTGCTGAGACAATCACACAAATGCACATGGCCCTGGTTCCTTCTCCATCGCTTGGGTGTGGTTTCAGTCGCCCACTGCCTTCTCACTCAGAAACCCCTTCACCTCCATACGGATTTGGACCAGTTGGCTTTCCAAACAGACTTCTTGCTTACTAATCCTCTGGACGTCATTCATGAGCTGCTCCTCATGAACGCAGGAAGATGATGGAAGTAATCCCCAAAAGTTGATTCTGTTATCAGGACGTTTTCAGTGGGAGAAACGTTTCATCATCATCAGGTGACGTCTTCAGTCTCAGCTGCAGGTTTCCACCTTATAAACAGGACATTTGCATGACTGAAACCAGCCCACTGAGGGAACAACGTGAGCTCAGCTCCTTTGCATGTTAATGATCGAGGAACTGAGCTCACAGCCAGAATCAACTGTTGGGGATTTACTTAGCTGGATGAACGAGCATGCATTAAGAAGTAATCCTTCATCTCCATCATGTCTACAATCAGTGTATAAACATACGTTCTTCTCTCCCACCTCAGTGTCCAGTCTCACAACCGTCAGTACTTTCCTTTGCAAACACTTTGTTCCATCTCTGCATGTGCACTGTTGGCCAGCAGCACCACAGCTGATTGTTGATTGGCTGTAGCTCAGGCAGGTAGATCAGGTGATCTCATAATCGCTTTAATCCCACTCCGGTCTGAATCCCAGGTTGCTTTCTGATGCAGTGTGAATGCTAGAGAGCGTTCAGGCGTTTAAAAAACAAAACACAGGAGCACCACCAGCGCTGACCCTCCCCATTTATCCACGCATGTGCTGACACTAGCAGTGCACTGGCTTGTGGCGCCTGTGCCTCGCTGCCATTCATACAGGAAGACTATCAGTGTGACGAGACAGGAAGCATCAGTTTGGATATATATGGCATAATTTTACTTCACATTTTTTCATTACAGAGTAAATCTTGTAATCTAACACAGGTATTGGACAGGTTCCTAACACCAATATATGAGGCTGCATTAGCTAGTGGATACTGCATAGACACGCACACAAACTCA